TTTTGGAAAATAACATTGTATAGGCTCTCTCAAAATAATATAATAATCGGAAAAAAAATTTATATATTTTTTTTATGTTATATAAAAAAATATACAAATTTGATATACTTTTGCGGCTACCGAGTATAAGTAAATTTGGTCGGAAGCTAAAAGTGATCTTTGCCCCAAATTAATCCCTTCAATTTTGTCGTCACTTTCTATTTTAGGATAATGGAACTTCTTTCTGTTGCAGTGGTCAATACGGAGGGAGTAGCATTTTGTTAATTTCTCATAATATCTGTTACATTGAAAAGAAATGGAGTACAAGGAACCACTTTTCACATTAAAAACAGAGTTCAAATTCCGAAATTAACTAAAGCAAAAGTAGAAAAAGCTGGCACAAACAATATCTTCACTTAAACCGTACCTAAATTGGCTAGAAAGAAGAGATTAGAGACTAAATAACAAAAGAGAGCATATCCTCAGCAAAACTATATCGAAAAGCTGGCACAAACGGGGTCCTCACTAGTCACTAAACCATACCAAAATTTTTGTAGAGATTAGAGTACTCAGTAGTTTTTTGTCACGTAAGTGGGATACAGTTATTACTCAAATATTATTTGTTGGGCTAAACTAGCCCAATTAAACTCTTAACGTGGTGTGATATTGTCCGCTTTAGGTCAAACACGCAAGTTTTCCCCAAAAGGCCTTGCACTATTAAGAGATCCCTACACCTTATATGTAGACTCCCAATCTTTTCATCTACCAATGTGGGATTTCGTTCGCACACCCAACAATCTCCCTCTCGAATTAAGTTTCATGTGGACCACTACCACGATTCACGGGTCTATTTTCGAGATTCGGTGTGTGCCACCCACATTGTTAGAGTATTATGGCAACAGAAGCCCGCAACTAGCATCTTTTTGTGTGCGCATCGTCTCGCACCATCACTTTGCTATCTCCATACTCGTCCTACTGAATCTGGGCTCTGATATAAGTTGTTGGCTAAATTAGCCCAATTACATTCTTAGCATTGTGTGTTATTGTCCGTTTTGGGCCAAGCCCACGCAATTTTTCCCTAAAGGCCTCACGCCATTAATTAAGAGATCCCTACACTTTATATGTGGACTCCCAATCATTTTAGCTACCAATGTAGAACTTTGTTCGCACACCCAACATTATTCAGCAACTAACTGACATACTAATCTCCTTCATTGTGTCCTTTCCCCTCCTAGAAATTCAACAAACTAATTGGCATACTAATTTCCT